AAACGAAGGTTACCATCTTCCTCTACGATAGTTTTGGTGTCTAGGAAAGGGAGCATGTTGTCATGGCTTGGCTCCTGTGTGAACTTGATGTTGTCATCTATCTGGTTGATGTGGTCAAAGAAGTCAGCAGCTACCCTCTTTTTCAATCTGCACCAAGTGTCATCTACATATCGAAACCAGTTGGCCGGGGGAGTGTCATTGAAAGTGCTGAGGGCTTTGTTTTCAAACTTCTCCATGTACAGGTTTACAACAATTGGTGAGACTGGTGATCCCATAGCACAGCCGTGCATTTGTTGGTAGAACTGTCCTTTGTAGGTAAAGTATGTGCATCCTAAGCAGAGTTCTAGTAGCTCACAAACTTGGTCAACGGATAAGTTGGTTCTATCTGCAAGTGTGTCATCGGCTTCCAAGGCTTCCTTGACTACTGACACTGCTTCCTTGAGTGGTATGGAGGTGAAAAGTGAGCACACGTCATACGAAGTGATGGTTTCATCATCCTCTACATGAATGTCTTTGATTTTGTTGACAAAGTCGGCACTATTCTGTACATGGTGCTGAGATTTCCCCACTAGTGGTCCTAAAATCTTGGCTAGAAAACCTTCTAACTCATAGGTGACAGAGCCTATACTGGAGACTATGGGTCGTAGAGGGATACTTTGTTTGTGGATTTTGGGAAGGCCGTAGAAAGCAGGGGGTTGTTCCGTTGTGGGATTGAGTTTTAGGTAGGTGGGGCGATCCAGAACTCCTTCAGTTTGCAATTTCTTGAGAGCTGAACTGATTTTCCCTTTAAACTTGTTAGTGGGGTCCTTTTTCAAGGGCATGTAGGTGTCTTTGTCTCCCAATAGGTCCTGTACCTTCCTGTCGTACTGCTCCCTGTCTAAGACTACATCGGAGAGACAAGTCGACCGCTTAAAGTAAGGTACAAAGAACATTGCCGACCTAGTGCCAACGGCTACTCCTCAGCTATTTTCCACCACCTACAACACAACCAGGGTCAACCTCGAGTCCACGGATGTCTTAGACCGCGAAACACGCTGGTGGGAACGGGGTGTTAAAGAGGCAATATATGAAAGAATGTACAACCCCACCCTCAACAGGGAAGGGGGGCTACGGGTCGATCTTTCCGGCACTTGGGATTTGGCACTCCCAGCCCCGAGGACAGACAACAATTAGGCTCCTGTCCTGTATAACAGGAGTTTTCAGACTAATTTGCATCATCTTGTCTTGACTTGTCTGACTTTTGTTCCTTTTTCGACTTCCAAAAATTTGTCTTCACTTTATTTGCATATCAATCAACAGGTTGTGTATATAAACCTGCTTTCCCCTCTGGTCTCTAAGTCACTGACGAAAGCTAGTGGATACTAGCTGAAACGTCTGACGTTTTCAAAATCATATCCAGTTGCTTAAGTAACTGTTTTTTGGCATATCGTATTACCTGGATGTCTAACCTTCATCGACGTACAAGCGAAAACAATTTCTTTCAGCAGACGGAAATATTTTGCCCAGAACTGGTTACTTAAAATATTTCTAGAATTATAGTTTTTAGTTAACTGTTTTCAGACGGGGTGTTGGGGGTTGGGTTTTGAGGCCTGCGCCCACTTTCATATCTTGCGCCTGAGCGGCTTATGCTAGAACCGTCAAAAATGCAGAAACTTTGCTTCAAACACTGGAAGAATCAGCATCACTAGTGGGACTACATTGTAATGAATCTAAGAGTTCAGCGATCTCATACCTCCATGACTAGTTTAGTGCTGTCGTAAATCGTATGCATGGTGACCACCTGTACATGGCTTACATTTACAATCCTGCTCATTAGCAAAATGTCCATACAAATTATTCGCATAGCCCCTACCTAGTTACATTTAACACACTGGTGAAATCTTTATCATTTGGCAGGGACAACGTACGATATTGTTGGTTATATGTAAGCACGACCTCTGACATACATTTGCTAAATCATGTTAACGTCTAAACTGACTACTATACATTTTTTACTGCGAATAAGCAAAACATAAGATCGTATTTGCATATGTTGTATCAGTTAATCATATTCTCCACCCAATGACAGGGTTATCTTAAGAAATAAGGCTATTCTAGCATTTCGTCATAAATTATGCAATTGGTGGCCTGATTTGAATAGATTACGTTAGGTGATATCCACCTTCAGTGAACTTCCAATTATGGCAAGTATTAAATTCCCAGCAGTTACCAACATAAAATTGTATTAATTTTTCATTAATTATGCAAATTAAGTCTTTATTTACATAATCCATATCTGCCAATAATCTTGCTGTTTTCAATTAAATGCGTCACAAGTGTTTCATAGCCCTAATATCGAATACAGCAGATTTATAGAATTTCCTCATTATTTATGAAAAGTAGGTCCTGATTTGCATCATTGTACTTTATTTCTGTCAAACATCACTTAAGCTACCTACATATCAAAAATCAAGACGATCTGTCAAACGGTTGTTTAGTTATCCCCTCTAGAAAGTTTTTTTTAAAACCATACTGCAATTCGAGAACAATACGTTAGGAGGCGAAAACTCACGTGACTCTTTCCCGATGTCTACCATCTACTATCTACCATCTAAAATTCATGACTCTAGCATGTCCAGATCGCGAAATATCAAAACCGGAAGTTGCACTGTATTACCAAGGGAAGCCGCTAGGGGGGCCAAAATCTAATTATTTCCAGGTTTTGCCACACCCTACGAACACACAAGTATGAAACCGATCCATCCAGGCGTTCTTCAGTTATTTTGTTGACTAACAGACAGACAGACAGAATCACGCAACTGAAAATATAACCCCCATGACATGTCATGGAAGTAATTACTGTACCACTGGAACTTAGCTAATTGTCTGGGGCTCTTATCCATAGAGTAGAAAATTTTAGATATCTTGGCTCCTACATGATGTGCCCAAGGAAAGGTTTTGAAATAAGAAAAGCCCTAGGATGGGAATCTAGTAACAAATTGGATAAAATCTGGAAATCAAGTATGTCTTACACTTTTAGGTCCAAGTTTTTCTTACTCCTGCAGAACCTATATTACTCTACGGTTCGGAAACATAGACGCTCACCCGTTATTTGCAAAACAGACTGGATGGGACCTATACAAAGCTTCTGCGTAGAGCTCAGAACGTATCTTGGACACAGCATGCCACTATCAACACTATTTATGGTGGTCTCACAAGGGTGTCCGAAAAGCTTACCAATCGACGGGTTAAGTTTGCAGGACATTGTTGCAAAGCCAAGCAAGATGTAGTCTCGACCGTCCTGCTGTGGAAACCGAGGGGCAGAGTGCATTCCAGAAGTTTGACTTTCACAGACTCTTAGATTAAAGACACTGGTATTGACTTTGATTGTTTAGAAAATGCTATGTTAGACAAGGATCTATGGAGAGAAATCTGCACTTGCTTGGTCCCGGCTGTATCTTGAAAAATGCAACTTTTAAAATTCAAGATTTTGGATGCAACAGCTTACAGCTTACAGCTTAAATTACGCATGGCGTCATTTTATGACGTAATTTTGACGTCAGTGTTGTTGCCAGGGGCAGACATTAATATTCTATCACAAACACTTTCTTTAAGTTTGGTTGTATTCTGAGTTTTACTAATTTTCTGAAGGCTTTACCCAAAAAATCATTTAAATGACGTCATAATGGCGTCATGTGACGTCAAATTACACAAAAGTTGTTATGAATTAGTTTTATTACAACATCATTCTCTAAAAGTTGGTTGCCGTACGATAAGTGGCTGTTGACATGCAGGGGGACTGGGGATCAAAAGACGTTTTTACCTTCGCCAAAAAGGTTATGTTTTCAGTAGCGTTTGTCCGTCTACCCGTTTGGCTGTCTGGTTGTCTGTGAACAGCATAACTCAAGACGTTTAATATGCAGTGTCATGAAACTTAGTAGTTCGGTAGGTCTTGATGAGACTTGAATAATTAGTGCTCATCCAGAACTGGTCTTATTCTGTTAAGAATCATTTTATTGTGTCTCTTGGTAACAATTTAGCTCAGGGTAATGCCTCGTTATTTTTCTGGTTCTCGAATTTGGGTATCACTCACTCACTCACTCACTCACTCACTCACTCACTCACTCACTCACTCACTAAGCACCGCATGCTCCAGGGAGCGTCGCACCTCTCCAAGTTTTTTTTTTTCTTTTTTCTTGAATAAAGCAATACAAATGCAAGGACGACGTTGGACTGAATTCAAGTTATACAACTTATTTTACAGCTCCACTTAACATTTAACATAAATACAATAATCATACAAATATTCATAAACATATAGTAGTACGCTGAAAACTAAACCCCTATACATACAGCAATATATCAACAGGAGAACTATTATATGATTTATATGTTACAAACAAAACAGAGTATACTTTGTAACAAAGAAACGTTTAGTGCCGCTTATAAAATATTGGGTAAGTAACATAATTTTTTTCATTGTACTCAGAGGGTATCGCAAACGATCCCCTGAGTACAAGATGGAGCCTGGCACTTTCAAAAAGGGCATCTAAATCAATCAAAGAACCAATTAAATCAGAGAGGTTGTTAACAAAATCATCTCTTAACTGAGTAAACAAAGGGCAGTGTAATATAAAATGAGAAATAGATTCGCAGGGGTACCCACAAATACACGAAGGGCTAAGAATCAAAACACGATTAAAAAGACTATAAATAAGATTGCAAGTGCCGATACGTAACCGGGAAAGAATCTGGCACAGGTGTATTTGGGGCCACAAGAGTACCACGGGGGACGAACGGGGCTTACTAATTTAGTAAGACGATTTTAAAAGGTACATAACGTAAGTAGCGAATATCAAAGTCAAGATCATTCCAATAATTTAAATAGTACGGGATAAAGGATTTACAATGTCTATTAGTAATAGGCCTACTGAGTCTGAAGTTAAATTTGTTTCCTAAGTTGTATACAGTAGTATTAAACATTTCTGGGGGAAGTAATTCAGTCAGCTGGTATGTCCGTGTTAAGCCGTGAACAATCTTATAAAACAATGATAATCTATGGACATGGCGCCTGCTCGAATGGACATGGCTCCTGCTCGAGTTGTCTTCCAGATGGTTCTGTCCTGCGCCCTCTGCCAGGCTGTGGCTGCATTAAGACCCACTGTGCTGAAGTCTGCATTCAGCTGGTCTCCCCATCTGCGTCTGGGTCTGCCTCTGGGTCTGGACAAGCCTGCAGGCGTGGCTGCCTTCAGTAGACTGACAGCTTCCAGGGGTGGATCAGCTCCGACTACGTGGCCAAAGAGTCGCAGGCGGGCGTGTCTGATCTTGTAGGAGACAGGCGGTTGACCGGTTCTTTGGCGTACGGTGGAGTTAGAGATGAAGTCATACCAGCGGTAGCCAAGGATCCTACGCAGGCATTTTTGGTCAAAGGTGTCCATGTGACGCTCCTCTGTGGCTGTGAGGGTCCAAGGCACTGCACCATAGAGTAGGACAGAGAGCACTAAGCTGTTATATAGAGCCTGAGATTGGATATCTTGCCATTAGACCAGATGTGGCCGAGACAGGACATTGCTGTGGACGAGCTGCCGATACCGGTATTTGGGTATAATTATTGTCTTCGTCAGAAAGACTATAAAATTGTCTCGCCGCATTGTGGGTGACTGCGGATTTATCGAAATAACTCTTGAAGGCATTGTTCGACGTCCATGATTTTTGGCAGGCAGATTACCGTTGTGAAGGCCAATGCCAAGTGCAAGTTTGGGCTTCGTGGGGGGTCCGTTCGTCACCGCAGTGGACTTTTTGTGTTTGTGGCTTGTGAGCAAAATAACTCGAGTATATTTAAACAGATGTTCATGATTTTTGGTAGGGAAGCTACTATTGTAGAGGCGAAGGTCAAGTTCGAAAACGGGACTCGTGGGGGTCCCTATTTTGCTGCAGTGGACCTTTTGTGTTAGATAGATAATGAACTACCCCCATATCAGTTCCTCTAACTCGTCTGTATAATAAATCTCTCCTTCTTGGCCAAGTTCCTACAGAATGGAAAAAGGATAACGTAACACCCATTCACAAAGCTGGTAACCGCCACCTCACAAACAACTACAGGCCCATATCCTTGCTTAGCACAGTCTCAAAAGTTCTAGAGACACTTGTTAACAAACGTTTAACGGCTCATGTCAACCGGATATTAACTGACAACCAAAGCGGGTTTCGACCACTTGACAATACAACCCTCCAGCTGACTCGACTGGTAGAGGAGTGGACTGATGCAATGGATAAAGGAGAAATAGTCGGCTGTGTATTTCTAGACCTTCGGAAAGCCTTTGATAAGGTTTGGCACGCAGGACTTCTGTCCAAACTAAAATCATATGGAATCAGTGGACTTATGCATGACTGGTTCTCCGGTTACCTCTCGGACAGAAAACAACGAGTGGTCATCCAGGGTGCAACGTCTACATGGAAGTCCCCACTAGCCGGAGTACCGCAAGGTTCCGTCCTTGGACCAACGCTTTTCATTCTTTACATCAATGACCTTGCCACCAGCCGTACACATTGTCTGGCCAACTTATTTGCCGACGACACATCTCTGTCATTCTCCCATCATTCTGTTCAACGCGTAGTTGCAACACTGAACCGAGAGTTGAGTACTGTGTCGACCTGGCTTTCTACATGGAAACTAGAAGCTAACATAGACAAGTGCAAAGTCATGTTCATTACAACTCGTACTCTACCACAACCGATTCCCCCTGTGACCTTAGGAGGAACTGTACTGCAAGTTGTCACCAGCCACAAACACTTAGGCGTCACTCTCACGAATACCCTGTCCTGGTCAATGCACATCGAGGTCATCTCTAACAAAGCAAGACGTTCTTCAGGACTGTTATGTGCCCTAAGAAGGAAAATTCCCCAAAACTTACTGCTCAGGCTGTACATCACCATTACAAGACCTACGTTAGAGTACGCGGATATTGTCTGGGCTGGCCTCACTTTACGTGACCAAAGGACTTTAGAATCTGTTCAGTACCAAACAGCCAGGCTTATCAGTGGTCACTTTGGGATCCCATACCCTTCCTACAATAGTCTCTACACAGAACTGTCTCTACCATCTCTCCAGTTTCGACGCAAGTTTCACACTGCAGTAACCATGTACAAACTGTTGAACGGTCGCTGTCCTCCACACCTGCAAAGTCTGCTACCTCGAGCGCGAGCGTCCGCCACAGAATCCCGGTATCCCTTACGGAATAGTGAACACTTATCCATACCCGTTTGTAGAACCACCAGATCCCAGAGAACATTTGTAATCAGAGCTATAACTATCTGGAATACTCTCCCTAGCGAAACTCGAACAGCCCGCTCCATCAGCTCCTTTAAAAAGAAACTATGGACAATACTTGATAAATACTTGATGACAACTACTTAGTAAATAGCTCAATAGAATAATATTGTATTGACAATGTAAATATAGTGCACAACATCTGTTATGTAATAGTATATTAACCTGACATATAAATGTAATTGTAGTAAACGCACGACGACCAGGCCGGATATTCTAGCTTGTTAACGCTTGGCCACAACATCTGTTATGTAGTAGTACCGGTAGTATGTCTATCTGAATTGTAACTGACACTGTTAACTGTTAACTGTTCCGAATTGTTTATGTTATTGTTGTGAGGGCTAGCCCTTTATAATAGCCTCCGGCTAGTTGGGCAGTCCTGGCTGCATACATATGTGTTATCAGCCTAATAAATCAAATCAAATCAAATCAACTACCCCCACCAACCTCTGCATTGATTCACATGGGAGACAGCTGTCCCCACATCTGGTATCAATTGCTTACAATAGAGGGGCTGTCCTATAAATACTGTGGGGGGGGGAGTGGAGATGCGTCAGGCAGGTCATTCCCTAAATTGTAAGGCCAGACCAAGTAATTTCTATGGATGACGTCCACTGGAGACCTTAAATTTGTTGCAAAAGCACAATAAAAGAAACGAAGGTAAAAAACAACAACTGATTAACATGCACAGATTTGGAACATACTAACTGTGAAAATACAAAGGTTAGGACGCAAATTGGATAAAAGAACATAGTTTAAAACAAACGAAAACAGCAATAAATCTCCCCCTGTTCTGATTCTTTTCTTTCATCACATCTTCTCATTACATTTTGCAACACTGTTGTAGAATAAAAAAAGGGAAAAAAAGGAGTACAAAGATTCTTTTGTACTCTAGGCCAAATTGATTTCTAGTATTAAAAAAAACGTCCCTTTATCTAGAACAATGTCCATCTGACGAAGGCATAAGATCTGCGGTTTTTCCCCTTCGCACATTGCCTTGTTGCAGAAGTTCATAATAGTGGCAACCGGTTTCTGACATGCGTTTTTTAAATCAGTAAGTTTGACTTAAACAATGAAATTTTAACTTATGTAAATTTATGTATTTTTATCAATAATATCGCATAATTTATACGTTATTGGGCAAAATTCAAGATGGTGGACGACATTATTAAATCAGGTTCATTCCGGCTATTTTCCTTGAAATTTCATTTCAACTTCAATTTTTTTTTTACAGAAAATGTTTACTTGAACCTCTTTAGTATAATTCCATTGTAGTTTAGGCTTTATCATGAAAAAAAAATTCGAAAATTCAATATTGACGATTGAGTATTGACGATTATATATTAACGATTGACTATTGACGATTAAAGATGGCGGTCAGTTGAAATATGCCTTTGTCACCAAAAAACACAAACTGGCTGCCTGGGCTAGCATATTAGCATGGTACTACAGTGTCGTACCTAGTACCTGACCCCTTCCTCTCTCCCTCCCTTTCCACCTCTCTACGTACCAACGGTCCGATTCATCCGGGCACTGAGTAAAAAAAAAATAAACTGAAAGGGTACAGAACCAAGCTGCAAGATTCTGCACGAACAACTATGAAAGGGGTGCAGGTGTAACGGAAATCAAAAGAAAGACAGATGAAAAATGTCCAGACTAGGCATGATGTACGGAAAGACTAATAGACTGGTGTACTTACCAACCAAGTACCTAACACCAGCTCATTAAAGAACAAGAAATAGTCATGCCATTAAATATCAGACTTATGAAAAGTTAAACTGTTCTCCAACTCAAAATTTGACTGAATGTTCGACTGAATCACTCAATCTTCCTCAGCTATCTGACCCGTGGACACGTGATTATTCCCAAAGGTTGTCTGAAGTCGATATCGCCCCCCGTCCCGGTTGAGCGATGGTTGAAGTGCCCTGATGTATGGCCTCTTCTATGCCTCTCTTGAAGAAATCCTGTTCGGTATCCAAGATTCTAACCCCCTCCAGATCCACTGTGTGTCCCGGTGATTCTATGTGGATGTGCTGTGACACCTCAGATGCAACAGAACAGAACCACATAAGTTGCCAGGGAAACACTAACAGAGGCCCCTGTCGGGAAACTTACATCGGGGAAACTGAAAGCTCACTAAAAACCAGGTTTCTAGAACATAGCTGACCCAGTTCTGATTCAGTCGAAAATTCCGGTGAGTCAACTTTTGAGTTGGAGAACAGTTTAACTTCTTCATAATGTAATTTACCAACTCAGATGAACTTTCGTGCTGAAATATCAGACTTATTAACCTAGAATTGATACCTTCAAAATCTTCGTTCAACTTAAGAACTATCGTAGAGTGGAAGTCATTACCACCAAGCACAGTCGGGCCATCATCACAAAAAAGGTTTAAACAACTTCTGCAATTAAATGAGCGAATATTTAGTGTAGCAAGTCGTTCGGTGTGATATAGCTTGCTGCCGCCGCGCTGCGTGCCCACAAAGCTTCAACGTCTTCCTCAGGGTTACTCAACACAGACTGCGAGTGAAGTTGTTATCAAATACAATGCCACTAACTTGGAGTGATTACAATAGAAACAAAAAAGAGCCGATGTGCGGGTGTGCTGTTGGTTGAATGTCCTTTTGCTAGCACCCCTATTAAACCAAATTAGTATCGCCCAAGACGAAAGGCTCCTCGCCTTTCTATTGTGACAACCCTATTAAGGTCTCTACCGTTTGCTACCTAGTCAGACACACCAAGAGACAGTACACCGGTGAGTCATTTTTGCAACTGTTAGTGTCTTTGACCAACCATACACGATTTACGAAACCTTCTTGCAGTGTAGTTTTACAGGTCAGTATACCCTTGAATGTACTATTGTCACAATATCGTAACTTTGCATGTGTCCGTAAATGTGTATATTTAGATTTTCGTTTGTGCTTAGGCTTTTTTGTCCCCAACCAAATTTTTGCAATTTTTAAAAATCAGACTGTACTCCCCTCCCCCTCTCTCCCTCTCCGTGTGTGTCTTTCCAAAGAAAGTAGTATGGGGACTATCCTGTGCATACTGGCAGGCATTTGATTAATTAGCAGGGTCATGTTGCGTCTTGTGACACGGTGGGGTTAACATTATCACCCCCTATATCTATGCGTGAGCGAAGACGCATCGCACAAACAAAGCTGAAAGAAAAGCACGATATAATACCATGCTTAACCTCTGACGAGGAACATAACAGATTCGGTTAAACAATTAGTGTAAATTAGCTCTTAATCTTATTAACAGCATTGTTTTATAATATTTTGTTAAATTTAATTGGTTTTATATATTTCATACCGATACACTAAAACATTAGAAAAATAATGACCAATTTATCCTGGTATTCCTTCACTGTATGGATAGTATTTCCCAATGCAGTATGGTTCAAATCAAGTTTCATTTTATTCTATGGAGTTCCTAAGTAGAAATTGAATGAATAGTTGGTTAACCCTCAACAGTACACCTTCCCGGACTGATTAATCTGTACAACTGGGGTCCGCGCGGACACCAGAACAGTTTTTTGCTAATTTTTAGAAATTATCAACATGCTACCAGCTCCATTGTTTTGCAAACTGATGTGGGAACCTCTGTGTCCACATTACATACAAAAATCATACATTTTGAACTTTTTCTATTTTTTGGTGAAGAAAAGAAGACAAGAAGAAATACCCGATTTTTAAACCCATTTCAGACTGAAGGGGCTTTTGAGGCCCAACTTTGATCTCATATAGCGGCTAAACGGCTTGCGCTAGAAGTATAAAAATTTGGAGACCTTTCCTAAAATGTCTCTGGAAAAAAGTTCATATTAGTTTAATACTAGTACGTTGATGTTTTTTGTGTTGCCATGGTAACGGGTTTCTAGCAGGCAGTTTTTTTTTAAATAGAAGTAATTTTGGTTTAAACATAAAAAATTTTTGAGTTTTATATTAAATTACACTTCTTTTCCAACATTAATAGCATCTTACATAAATAAATATAAGTTAAATCATTTAATATGCATAGAATATGCTAATTTAATGACGTCATTGGTCAAAATCCAATATGGCGGACTATATTATTAGCTCTGACGTCATATGACTTTATAATTACACCAAAGTTATTAAAACTTAATTCTATTACTACACCATTCTCTGAAAACTTGGTAGACATACGATGAGTGCATAAAAACATATAAAAACGGAAATAAGGTAATGTATAAGACCGCCAGTGTATCCGTTATGATCGAAAGCCGGCTGGGGTCCGCGCGGACCCCAAAAGAAAATCAGATATCATTTTTTTTATAAATGGTAGAAACGGAGTTTTCTGCACAGTATTGAGAGACAACTTTGTGGGTGACAATTACCTAAAATTTCAGAAAAAAATCTTTAGAAACAAAAAAAAAAATATTACAGAATATATAGTGCTGGGGTCCGCGCGGACCCCAGGTGTACTGTTTAGGGTTAAATTGGCCAGACACCGGGAGAAGAATTCGAAAATGTTTGATCAGTTAAAAGGTCAGACACAAGACTAACCATCTAGATTACACAAATTTTAGGTACCACGTTACCTTTCATACCCTCGACACACTGAACAACATAGTCATATTAATAAGCGTTTTAACCACGAAGTGATTTAAAATCAATTAGCGTTCCACGACTTCATACCTTTGGAAAATTATGTTTAATTTACAACTTATGAAGTATGTTTTTAACTACAATACAAATTAGATCATTCGCATGTAAATATTAATTCACTCAACAGATAATTAGACACTTATAAAAAAGATAATTAGATTACGCCGTTTTTTTTATCGTCAATGTTTTCGGTTTAAATCGGGGGGGGGGGCGATAAGGACACCAAGAAGGCCGAAGGTTGGTAAGAAACTAAAGAACACAAAGCAGTATGATTTTTTCGTATTGCCCCCAAAAATTAGGTCTGTAACGTACTTTCTTGTTTAAAACATAGACACCAATGGGGGAGTGTGCTGTATTCTGGGATAGTTTTGAGAGTATTTGGAGAATTTGTCCTGGATCGATGCGTTTTAGGACTTGCACGCAAAATGGTCATTTTATTGTATCCTGTAAAGTAATATGCATTTTCCATTTCCTAAAATTAATGTCTGTCTGAATATAGCACTCCTTTCTGGACTTTAGTACTCCTTTAAGTACAAATCTTAAACATTTCTACTGCATTGTAAGTCTACAATTGTAGAAAATAAGTGTTTGCAGGAAATGACCTCCATTTCTGTTTGTTTGTGTCAACGAAGATAGCGGTAAACTTACCTTATAATTCATTTTGCCCCATTTTTAGAAACATTAGGAACTAAGCTTTCATGAGTAGTAAGCCGTAACCCTGAAAAAAATTCAGCCCTGGGATTATGTTGGGAAAACTAAGGCTGGTATTCGTCAGCCTGCGAAGTGCTGCGCTTACAAAGACGGACCACTATTTGTCTAAAGTTTGATATTAGTAAGAATATGTTCAACTCAACTCCAAGTTTGGCTACCCAAATTCACAGGTGACGTCAAGAGGCAAATAAACAAACTAGACCAATTGCAAGTACACACAGCCGTATACAAACAGCCCAATTCCATTTTAATCAGTTTGCTAAATAACAGTGTGTAGAGTCATGGGTTATATATGTACTAAATAAGATGTATTCGCAACATTAGATGCTGCACACAGCCACAGACCTAGAGCGCTACATTCATATCTCGAGATGAAATGATGCCTACTACTACTACTGAATAAGATGTATGTGTAAGTCTATGACTGTATTGTTGTTACTGATTATAAAAACCAGGTATCGATTAATGAAAAAATCGAATGAGTTGGTCGTAGCTTTAAATAATTCTATTATGTAAGTTAGTTTTATTTCCCTATGTATATATGTATGTAAGAACATACAATTCAGCATGTGGACTACCACTTGTTCACTTACAATAAACCACCTTTATATTTTTTTTTCAATGCAGCCATGTTACGAAAAAAGACCAATACTTAGTGTAATTTGGTAGGCCCTATTTCTATTCATCAACATCCGTCGTCCCTGTCGGGCGAAGTTAGCTGCTGCACAACTGCACTCCACAGGGATCTGTCAGCCATAGTTGATTTAAGATCACCACTAAATAAATAAATAAATATGGTGAAGAAATTGTTTTTATTTTTATTACATAAATGACAGCCCGTCGGGTTGAGGGTCCCAAATTAGTGCGTTTGCCACTAGCACAGGGAACTCTGAGCCAAAATCTCATAATGAAAATTCAAAATTAAAATATCAACCTTTTCCATATGGAAAGGCTGATGATGGAACAGTTTAATTTTAGGTACAAGGTATTAATGGATAGAGATATTTGTTGTTTGCTGCCGAACAAATGTTTGCCAAAAGTTTTTGTGCATATATTTCCATCCGCTTTGATTCTAAGTTTAAAAAAAAAATTATTTGTTTTTGGTACTTCAACCTTAACCCTATCTAGACCGGGCTTTTTTGAGCAAGATTTGACC